AATAGCATGACCTACACATTATAACTTTATTACTCAAGTGAAGAGATCAATATAAAGTGGAAATAGATTGTCATCCAAGGGTTTATTCTTGGCTAGCCACTTAATTAGGGAAAAGTCTACTGTACCAGAAAAAAAAATTGTGTACCATATTAAAAATTATTATTTTTTGAGATCAAGTTACATGTTTGATCGATCGATCAGGAACACTCCTCAATCAATTTTAAACTTCACATTTATATAAGGTGTAATTTTACCTTAAAAGTTATAACTGTACCTTTAAAACTGTAATTTCCATGATCAATCTAACATTTTATGATCGAAAAGAAGAGACGGTCTTAGCTGTTTACATAAAGCAGCGGCTAGGTCTCTGTTCCCATATTCATAAATTAGGTTAATGTTTTTAGTCGCATAGCATTACTATTACTTATATCTGATTGACCCATGCTATGCTATGTACACCAAATCAATAACCGCCTTTAGATTAGTGGAACCCGCCATTATTCAACCACTAAACATTCAATTGGTGCACATTTTGTGTGTGTGTGTGTGTGTGTGTGAGAGAGAGAGAGAGAGAGAGAGAGAGACCATAATAAGCCCTTTGATGATCTGATCCGCGTAGTATTCTGGCTGCGATTGTTGCAGAGAAAGCAAATGACTGATCATGGCATTTCTAGAATGATCTCGCCTGTGTTCCTCAATTAGGCCTTGTAGAAATTCATCCATGTTCTTTCCAAGCCTCACAAATTTCTTCTCAAAACCCTGGTAATCAATCCACCGCAAAAAAGTTAAGAAATCTCCTGGATTCGATGGCCCACCAACAACATTGCCTCCTCCATGATCTCACGAAAACGCTTTGCCTCTTCATCGCCTTCGTCTTCCCCAAAGTATCGCTTTCCTGCAACCATCCTCATAATGACATTGAAAGCTAGCTCAGTAAATTTTGATCTCAAATCAACCTTCGCATACCCTCTCTGATTTTTAAACAAAGGCTACGCAGCAAACGCTTAACTCCGTCTTGTCGAATGGATAAAAACATGTTGAGACGACTGGGGGAGAAAATTTCTTGTGCACTGAGGCGGCGGAGGTTGCGCCAGTGATCGCCGTAGGGGGCGCCAACCACCGCGGTGTAGTTATAGCCCATGCCTATTTGGAAACGAGGGCGGTCAGCGAGGACGACGTCGTTCTTGGTGAAGCATTCCTCCGCCGCAGATGATGATGACACAATAGTAACAAGACGGGTCCCAAATCTGAGGGAGAATATTGGGCCATGTTTCTCTGTAAGCTTTTGTAGAGTTCTATGAAGTGGTTGTTTCAGGAGGTAGAAGTGGCCTAGAACTGGAAGGGCTAACACTGGGCGAGGTGGGAGGTTCCCGCGTTTTGTGTACAACAAGTTGGCTTCTATGCTCGCTTGAATCGCAAGGTTTAACTTTCAGTTCAAAATATATATACATAATAACATTGAGATTCGAACACTCCTTATGGTAATATTAAAAAAAAAAACATTGAAAGCATTGGACGGATTGTACTAGAGTTGGCGTCGGGGACAAGAAATGTTAGTCAGATGTTAGTGAAAGAGTTTAATGATGGACAGTATGGTGCCATTGTAGATATATATTGGTTATATGGTTTGAATTTGAAAAGCTTTGTGAGTAATTTTTCTACATTTCCCTTGTTGATTTGGGAGATTTTGGTCTATTATGGTTGGATAGAGAATCTTGCCGCTCAATCTCAATCGATCGACGTGTATATTTGGCATTGTTGTACACTGGTATATGTCTTCTACTAATAATAGGCTCACAGGAAGCTTGTTTGCCGTTCTCCTTGTGTATGTGTGTGTGTGTGTTTGCCATTTTTTTCCATTGGGAACGTAAACCTCAATTTCCTATTTTAATAAAATTCAGTTTATATACCAAAAAAGAGGAAAAAAGAATGCTACTATTCCACGAAACATTATCCTATTAATATTTTTCAATAATATTGATTGAATGAATTTTCTCAATATTTTAGTATAGTAACAAAAAAAATGTTTTCGTTACTCTAGTTTTTTTATTTTCATAAACCATATGCATCGTGAGGGAGTTATTTGGTTGATTAAATTTGGCTTTACGTTAGGAAATTTAAACTGAATGGTTTGGTAAAGGTCATTTTTCTAAGTTCATATGCAAAAGGCTCTGTTGCTCTGTTGACTAAACTCCTAAAGTTTCAAAATCCCATTGTCAATACCTAGGGATGTTCTAGGCCTAGACTAAACCAAACCGTGAGACAATGAACCCCAAGTAAGCAAGTTATGATGACTGCTTGAACTGCTGTTGTGCAACTAGCAGATATTGCGACCAAATGAAGGTGAAAATTATGATGGTTTACTTATAAATTCATTCTTTAGATGTGAAAGTATATCAGATTGCAATTTTCGGGCCTCAAACGAAGAGTAATGTGTATATTTTTTTCTTTCTTAGATTTTAGCCAATAATTTTGTGGGCAAAGATGAGTGATGGGGTAAAACTCCCTATCTTCAATTGTGCAGCCTAAAGTATGTCAAATTATAAAACGACCCACACAATACGACAATTCACCCATTTTGTAAACGAATGAACCCATTACGACCTAACACGATTAATAGGTGAATCGAATATATGGATTAAGTAAATCAAAAAAAATATATAATATGACTCATTTATACATTAGTTATATACGATTCATACATGACAGACACAAGCTAATAAACGAATCGAATATGGATAAAATATTTTTTCACATAACTTGCTTCACCTAACACGATTGACAAATCTAAACTAGAGTGAACCAACATTAAACACCATCAAAAAGTGTAGTTGATCGATGAAGAGTCTCGTCTATGTTGTGCGGTAAGGAGAATGTTGAGGCAGTAGCACATGCCACATTTTTTCCGTCTATGACTTAGAAGATGATTTACACTTGGAATAAACACTATAAAAAATTAACACATAAAAGATCGTAAATAAACGCAAAAGATACGAGATTCTGAAAAATTTCTCATGCTACCTCCAACCACGTGGACCCCCAATAAAAACAAAAATTAGTGTCCCAAACTAACACTATTATGCACTACCAATAAAATATACAATAGATGTGACAACAATTATATAGTAAATACTACAATGCTACAGTGCTATCATTAGTAACACTTAAAAAAGGCATGAACAATAACAATAACAATACTCACTCACAGGAAATGCTTAAACATTGTTATTCAACTTCTGAAAGAACCTTGTCCATGATGCTGCGGGCTCTACACATGGCCACCAATGGCTTTGCTTTGGGCATGGTGAGCCCATTCCCTTCGGCCAAATCAACCTCCTCCTCACTAATCCTCTCCCACTCAAAGCATTGAATCAATGACCCCAAGGCTGAACCCACCACCCTTTGGGCTAGTCCGGCACCAGGACAGGACCTCCTCCCCATCCCAAACGGCATCAATTTGTGTTGCCCAACTGCCCCACCTTCAAACCTCTCGGGTTTGAAGCTACTCGGGTCATCCCACACATTCGGGTCCCTGTGAATGACCCATGCGTTAACTAGTAAAATCGTGCCGCATGGCACGTCATATCCGCCAATAGTACAATCGGCAGATGACTCGTGTGGTAGCAATAATGGTGCTGGTGGAAATAACCGAAGAGTCTCCAAAATGATGCTATGAAGGTAATGCAAGTTAGACAAATCTGTTTCATCCATGAGGCGAGTACAGCCCACATTACTGTCCAATTCTTCTCTAGCCTTTTTCAATGCTTCCGGGTGGTTGAGTAAAACAGACATTGCCCACTCTATTGTCACAGCCGAAGTGTCAGTTCCCGCAATTAGCATGACCTGTAAAATATGAGTTCCTTAAGAAAGATTAGTACAAAATGGGAGAAGATAGTGGTCCATTGATTTAATCTTATATGAGAAAAGTTGGTAGAGGATGTACTTCATAAATTGTCTGGACGTCCTTTTTTAAGAGTCTAAATTGAGTCATATCATTTTCTAGTCCGTAAATCTTTCCAAAAAATTTGGAGAATCAAACTTATTTGTCAATTAAATTGATATTGGGATTCATATGTAAATATGGTATCTATTTAGATACATTCAAATGATCCTTTCTCATAATGAGAATGTATATATCCCTATTCTGATTTGATCCGGTATAAAATGAACTTATAATTATGAATTGATCATTAGATTGTAGATTATAAATTCAAAACCCTAGTCCATTTCCATTTTGGGCGGAACAGATTTATTAATTCTTTGATTCCAAATAGACCCTACAAGCTAAAAAAGTATCAAGAGCAATGACAACAAACGAGTTTCATTTTTTATCATGTTTTATGATATGAATATACAAAAATTTCTCACCATTCATGGACCATTTCATGCACAGTGTGTGTGTGAGAGAGAGGGAGAGAGAAAAGAGGGGGAGGGGGGAGAGGGAGGACACGAACCAGTACAAGGCCTTTGATGATTTGGTTTGTATAGTATTCTGGCTGTGATTCTTGCAGAGAAAGCAGATGACTGATCATGGTATTTCTAGAAATATCTTTTTTGTGCTCATCAATTAGGCCTTGTAGAAATTCATCCATGTCCTTACTAAGCCTGACCAATTTCTTCTCAAAACCCTGGTAATCAATCCACCGCAAAATTGGTAAGAAATCGCCAGGATTCGAGGCACCACCAAGGAGTAGTGTCTCCTCCACGAGCTTCCGAAAATGCTTTGCCTCTTCATTGCCCTCGTCTTCCCCAAAGTACCTCTTCCCTGCAATCATCCTCATAATGACATTGAAGGACAGCTCAGTTAATTTCGATCTCAATTCAACCTTCGCAAACCCTCTCTGAGAATTTAGATACAGGCTACGCAGCAAACGTTTGATTTCGTCTTGTCGAATCGATAAAAACATGTTGAGGCGACTGGCGGAGAAAATTTCTTGCGCGCTGAGGCGGCGGAGATTGCGCCAGTGGTCGCCGTAGGGAGATCCAACGATGGTGGTGAAGTTATAGCCTATGTATTTTCCAACAAGGAAAAGAGGGCGGTTAGCGAGAACGATGTCGTTCTTGGTGAAACATTCCTCCGCCGCAGATGGTGACGATACGACAGTGACAAGTCGGGTCCCAAATCTGAGGGAGAAGATTGGGCCATGTTTCTGTGAGAGCTTTTGGAGGGTTTGATGAAGGGGTTGTTTCAGGAGGTAGAGGTGGCCTATGACCGGAAGAGACAGTACTGGAGTCGGCAGGAGGTTCCGGCGTTGTGTGAACAAGAACTTGAAAGCTAAGAAGAGGAGGAAGAGAGAGAAGGATATGTAGGACCAGATGACTTCCATTCTTAACTTGAATCGTGTTGGATTCTAAGAATGTGGACTGTGGAAGAAGATAAAGGGTTACATGAAACTCTAGTTAAGAATCGTGTTGGATTCTAAGAATGTGGACTGTGGAAGAAGATAAAGAGTTACATGAAACTCTTGCTAGATCTGTTTACGCTAGTAATATATTCACCATTTTTTTTTTATTAAATCTCTTTAATAACGTAATTAAGTGAAATTAATACCCACTAATCTGATAATTTTTTTTTAACATACGTACACTACGTATATGGATATTGTTCGGAATAAAAAATATATTAAATTATGAATTAATCAATTATTAAAATAATTGAGGACATATGATAACAAAGAAATTAGAAATAGATGAGATTTTGACATTGACTTTATCGATTGTAATTTTTATTATAAAAAAATTATTTTTAACTATAAAAATTTGATTATATAACCAAATGAGTGGTAATATAATGACTAATATTAAAACAAAGTTGTCATGCAATGCCTTAAATGAAAAATTCATTGAAATAATATAATGATAGAAATTATATTTGTTGATTGGTTAACACATATATAATAGAAAAAAAATTGAGAGTATTTTAGTCTATTTACATAATAAAGAGTAATTTTAATATTTTCATAAAATATTTAGTTAAATCATTACTTTATCTACTGATCGAGACAAAAATTATTGTTAAAATTGTGTCATTGATTTGAAAGCATAACCTAAAAGAAGGTATAGTAAAGTTTCAAAATCAAAAGGAAGTGTATTGAATATAAACCTAGCTAAAGAGGTATGTGAATAAAATTTTTTCTAGAAATTATACAAGTTTTGAAAGAATAAAGTCCGGGGAAAACAATTAGTCTAATAATAGTAATATTATTCAATTTAATTTGTTAATTTAATTAATCACTATTATTGAACTGACAACGAGCTGATCATCAAATTAGGTCCAACTCATTGTCAATCTAACCATCGTAATTAATTACATTAATTAATTAAAATTGATAAATCAGAAATACTGTGTTGGATAAATATAAGAATTGGATGATTAATCGTATTTTTAAAAAAATATATCGATATTTTTAAGAAAATAATAGATAAATATAGATTTTAAATGATGTAATCAAAAAAATATAAAAAAATTATTATTTAATATAATGAGATAAATTTTTTAAAATATTTAAATTTTATATTTTATCGTACCTCCTAACAGGATATAACTAAGTATACAATATTTGGTAAATACGTTTGTGATGCACTTTTTTATTCTTTGGTAGGACCGTGGCAGCGTGCATCGAAGACCACTCATTTTCCCTTGTTTTCTTTTATCTTTTGGTAAGTACGTTTTTGCACAACACTGTTGACCAAAGGCTTGGTGGGCCAGAAGTTTTGGTGGGTTTATGGAAAATCTGGATAGCTACCAACCAACATCGCCGGTGGCGCTCTCTCTCTCTCTCTCTCTCCGAAAAGTGACGGTAGCCTGTAGTTATTTTATATTAATCAAATATAATCTCTTGTTTGCGCTGTTTAAAATTTTCAGTTAAAAAAATTAAATAACGACTCGGAACGTTTCGATCATACAATTTATATATTTTAATTTTTTAATCACAATAACTTATTTTAATTTAAATTTTAACAACAGAGTAACCCAACTCATTCATTAAAAAACACACACACAATAATAGATCAGATCGTTTTGATTCGACGATTTATATCTTTTAATCACGATAATTCATTTAAATTT